TGCATTTTTTTTTTTTTTTTTTTTTTGAGTTGGAGTCTCTGTCGCCCAGACTGGAGTGCAGTGGCCACTCCCGGCCACCGCAGCCTCGACCTGCTGGGCTCCGGTGATCCTTCCGCCTCAGCCTTCCAAGTAGCTGGAATTACAGGCATGCGCTACTATGCCCGGCTGATATTTTGATTTATTGTAGAGATGAGGTCTCGCTGCCCAGGCGGGTCTCGAACCCGCGGGCTCAGGCAATCCACTCACCTCAGCCTCCCAAAGGCGCGGGATTACAAGCTGAGCCACCGAGCCCGGCTTCAATGCATTTTTGACTTAACATATTTTCAGTTAAGATGGCTTCATCAGGATATCACCCCATTGTGAGTTGAGGAACATCTGTATGTGGAGGTAGTGCTATACATGAGGTAATTCATGATGTATATTGCTAATGTACTTATAGAACTTTAAGACAATTATCTGCTCTTCAGATAGACATTGAAGTTTTGACTTGGTAACTGGTCAAATAATTTTTGGGGATAAGATATCTTCAGCACAATAACCAACTGGTATATTTTATCTATAATAGATATTTAATCAGATAAACACAAATGTCAGTATATTGATATATTGAAGTAAATTGTTATTTTAGGACTGTTTTAAAATCTGTAGCGACAGTATCATTTTGTATGTGTAATGTAGTAGATGTGGTGACCTGAGTTTGAATGGAAGAATCGGTTAATGTACAACAGTTTATATTGTTTATTTAGGCCATCTACATGTTTCTGTATTTATTCATTTCTGTTTGAAAGAAGCCTTATTTTAATATCTAGTAAATTGTTTTAAGTGGTGTAGTGGATGCTCTTGGTGCTACTCCCAGCTTCCTCCAACAGGTTGGTGCACCCATATCCCAGGTGATGAGTTTTGGCCCCTAATGGCTCATAGGTGCCAGTTCTCCAGAGATTTGCTGTCAGACCATTAGGACTCTGCAGTCGATGCCTGATTGACTTGAGGGTGTTGAAGCTGGTCTCTCTGTTAGGGTAGTCCTGACTGTGGTGCAACTCAGGGTGAAGTGAGAATCCACCTGCAGCCACATTCTGCTTCTCTCCCCTGTCCTTTCTTGATTTTCCTGTTTCCAGTATCCTAAGAGAAGTCCCTCCATTAATCCCTTGCACCTAAATCTCTGGCTCAGGCTCTATCTCCAGGGAACCTGACCTGAGCCAGGGGAGTTACTGTATGAAAATTTTGAGCAAACAGACGCTTAGATGCATAAAAATGGACGACTTGCTAATGTCTCCCTCAACCTTCTCTGATTCTAGTTTCTTAGTTAGTCTTGGGAAGTGCTTAACCTCTCTGGAATTGTAACATAAAATATGGATGTGCACTTTTTAGGAAAAAAGTCCCTTATACATTTTCCAAGGACTTTGAGACTCCCAGAAGTTAAGTACTGTTGCTTTATAGGACTTTCTTTGGGCCTGTTCTCCATAGATAGAAATTCAAAATATATACTTTTATACATACATTTTCTCTCCATTGCTCGCTTATTTTTTATTTTTCTTTTGTAATGGGCACAGATTTTCTTACTCTTTCTAATACCATTTCCTCCTGGACATATAGAGAATGATGACCCATTAGATGAAGTTACATATCTGGTGGATGTTCCACAAAGGTCTGTGGTACTATGTAGTTGATTCCAAACTTTGTGGTGATATTGTGCTAGTCTGTTTTTGTGCTGCTATAAAGGAATATTTGAGGCTTGGTAATTTATAAAGAAAAGAGATGTAACTGTCTCACAGTTCTGCAGGCTGCACAAGAAGCATTGTGCTGGCATCTGCTTCTGGTGAGGGCCTGGAAACTTTTACTCGTGGTGGAAAGGGAAGGGGGTATATGCACATAAGAGAGAGAAGGCAAAAGAAAGGGGAGGGAGGTACTTGCTCTTGTGGGAACTAATAGCATGACACACTCACATATCCCTCAAGCCCCACTGAGGGCATTAATCTATAACATAAAGTTTGGAGAGGATAACATCCAAACTATAGCAAGTATCATTTCTCCTTTGTTTCTTTTTTTTTTTTTAACATTGTGGTTCTCATTACACTTTTTTCAGGAAGGTGAGTGCCATATTTAGATGAGAGGTGGGATAAGCCAGAACAGAGTAGTTGGGAGAACTCTGGGTCTCTTCCTTAATTCCAAATATATTAGTGCACTGGTCAGGGTTCTCTGGAGAGACAGACCAATAAGATGTCTGTCTGTCTATCCATCACTCTATCTATCTATCTATCTATCTATCCATCCATCCATCCATCCATCCATTCATCCATCCATCCCATCCATCCATCATCCTATATCTATCTGTCTATCTGTCTGCCTATCTATCTATCGATGTATTAGGGAAATTGGCATATGTGATTATAGAGGCTGAGAAGTCCCACAGTATGCTGTCTGGAAGCAGGAGAACCAGGGAAGCCGTAGTGTGGCTCAGTCCAGGAAGTAAGGTCTCAGAACTAGGGAAGCTTGAACCTGAGGCCCAAGACCTGAGAACCCCAGGAGGGCTGCTGATTCAAGGTTCATCGTAAAAAGGCCAGTGGACCTGAAGTTCTGATGTCCAATGACAAGAGAAGAAGAGTGTTCCAACTCTAGGAGAGAGAGAGGGAATTCACCTTCTTCTGCTTCTTATTCTATCCAGGCCCTCAGCCGATTGGATGGTGCCCACTCACACTGAGGGTGGATATTTCTTATTCAGTCCACTGGTTCAAGTGCCAATCTCGTCTGGAAACACCCTCACAAACATATCCAGAAATCAGGCATTACCAGCTGTCTGGTTAATCCAGGGGACTAAACAGCCCCAAAATGAACTGTCACAACCACTTTTGTGAATGAACTGGTATTATTGTGAAGCTATCTTTCCAAAAGGGAAGCAGTGACTTTTTTTTCTTTCAAATATCTGTGTTGAAATTTTATTTTGATTTTAGCCACAACTAATGGCTTGTTTTGTTTTAGTATTCTGTTCCAAGCATTTTAACTTACTGGTTAAAGAGACGGGATGCTTGACCATTAGAAAATAAAAATACAGTGAATAATTTAAAATGGAAGTTCTCAGTGCTCTCAGGTTCCCCCGCCTTTATAACAATTATCCTCTAACTTCCCTGTTATTTTCTTCCAGTGAGTTTCTTTATAGATAATGTAAGTTACCTACATTCATAAATTTAAAAAATATAATATCTTACTATGCTATATAATCAAATATGAATTTCAGTATAAACAACTGGCCTTGATTATTCAAGAAGTTACAATATGTCACATTCTTGCTTGTCTGCTTGATACCACTGTGAGTACAGTGGCTACAGTGTAGATTGATATAGGTGTGTTGTCTTGGGGTTCAGATCCCACAGTGCTGTCCTGGAACACCTACATTTTAGAAATGAAGCACAACTGTAGGTAAAACTTTAAAAAAGCACAGTGAAACTAATTTACATAATAGTTGGAACCTTGAAAAATCCAATGCAATACAAAATATTTAATATGTAATAATTTACATAGTAATTCCATTTAACATTTTTCATCTAGTTCTACTGAATTAGAATCTAGGCTTAGATAATTATGATTCTCTCTCTCTTTTTCAGGTATGTAAACCTCTCTGTGGGCTACAAGACAGTTTTTGCTGTGCAGGGCTAACTGGAATGTCTGGCATGCCTTGCACATGTAAATGCTGGTAGCATTACCTCAATCATCATGACAACCGTAAAATACTTCTAGTAATTTCCCAAATGCTTCCTAGATGGTATTAAGGTCTATTGAGAATCACTAGCTTAGAGAAACAAAACAAAACAAAACAAACCATTATTCACATAATAGGGTATTTCTAACTAGAATGGTGAAAGTGACATTACTAATAATAGTACTTTTTATTGTAGTATCAAATAAGCTCCTAAGATCTTAAATATTTCTATCGAGGTAAAACTGAAGGGAATTTTGACTTTTAAGTGCTTGATGGGTTTGATAGCCAAGAAGTAAGTCAGCTAAAGGCATAAACTACAGTGTCTGATGAATATAACATTCTTACAGAACTTTCAAGAAATTTAATTTGCTAGGCTTCATAGGTGATCTAAAGTTCTGTTTTCTTATGGATTCATTCTGTGTAGATGGAGTTGACATACACCTGCTTGTCTTCCATTGCATATGACAAGTGATGCAGTGCTGAGATCAGAAGGAAGGTCATTGGAGCTGCCCTGCTTCTTGCTATTTCTGTCTTACCTCAGGCCCCCTTTCCTTTGCCGGAACAGCCTATTACTTAAGCAGCTAATTAATAGCAATTTATGTGTTCATGTGGATATATACCTGACTTGTATCTTCAATCAAGATCTAGGATGCTTGAACCCTTATTTTGGTTGGTGCTGTTGAGAAATGTTAGAGTTTAGGTGGTGTCTGTTTTTATGAATGCAACTTTTACGCGATTTAGAACTTGCAATAAGTTAATTAATATTTGTGATGGGGTGAGAAAAAGGCAATTACAGCTATAGGATGCTTTGTCTTTGCTGGGACCAATACTAGATATTTGATGATATGTGCTTGTAACTATCAGTCCCTGGAAAGTGGTGGGTTTATTTACTTTTTAGTTTTAATGGTATGTACACAGAGCAGCTCTTTTAAAGTGGTGCAAGATAACTTCAGGTGCAGCTGTTATAAAAATAAATATATTGAAATTGCGAATCCTAATAACCTCATGAATGGCAGAAATCTGCAACTGTCTAATTATCTGTAGTGATGTGAATATAATTTTAGTAGCCTGCTATGAATTTAAAAAGTTTTACTGGTGTTTTTATCTGTCAAAATGATCGAGAATACTTTCTTTTTTGTCTCTGCAGCTCTTTTTTCTCTTTCCTCCAGGGAGAGCTACATGTAAATCATTCCAAAACAATTAATGCTGCTTTAGTCACAAATTATTGATTTTTCAGTTCATAGTGTATGTAGAATTGCTGCTCTACTTAGATTCTAAAATGAGGCATTTTAATTGTGTTTTCCAGGAAGATATGAATTTAAATGAAGATAAAAAGGCACCATTGCGGGAAAAGGACTTCAGTATCAAAAAAGAAATGGTGATGCAGTACATTAATACTGCTTCTAAGACAGTAAGTAAAACTGCCAAGTTGAGAAATATGGCTAAAGCGTGTTGTAGTATGGAACATACCACATTTGTCTAACGAGGGCCTTAAGTTTGTGGGCAGCCATAGTCGGGGCTTTTGGATGTATAATTAAGGGCACTGGTACAATGCATTATTCTCATCTTTCAACTTTTGTACTATTTTGGTTTTTTTAGCAGTTGCATTGTCAAGAGATGTTGTGGTAGGTCTATTATATGTCACCCTTCCTTGTCAGTGAATTAAGATGGGTACTGACTTCTTATGCCACTCATAAATAGAGATAATATTTGTATTTTAGAAAAGTGAGACTGATTTTACTCTACCTAAGCCAGGATACATAATAGTGGCTTAGAGGAATATCTTTAATGTGAGTTTCCCTATGGATAAAATGATCTTTTTTTTTTTGAGTTGGAGTCTCACTCTGTTGCCCAGACTGGAGTGCAGCGGTCGCTCCCGACCACCGCAGCCTCTACCTGTTGGGCTCCGAAGATCCTTCCACCTCAGCCTTCTGAGTAGCCGGAATTATAGGCATGCGTTACCATGTCCGGCTGATTTTTTGATTTATTGTAGAGATGAGGTCTTGTTGCCCAGACGGGTCTCGAACCTGCGGGCTCAGGCAATCCACTCACCTCAGCCTCCCAAAGGTGCGGGATTACAGGCTGATCCACCAAGCCTGGCGATAAAATGATCTTTTAACAAATTATAAATGTAGGTTTTGGAAAGAACATTAAGGCTTCATGTGGCTGCCAGTGTTTCAGCGAAACATGAACTATGTGGGTGGAAGTAATGACTAAATGTCTAAGAAACCATGACTGGCACACAGAATCAATTACATTCATTTCATGGAACAACAAATGAGTTTTACTAGTCATATACAAATTGAGAATAAATGGATTGGATGAAATTATAAAATGGAAGCCAATGAAGAAGTAATCAGTAGAAAATGATTTTGGCTGAATTTACAATAGAATTGGATTAGGAAAAAGTAGCTTAATGCACAAGTTTTCCTTGTACACTTTAACCTAAGGCCAGGTTGCAAGAACATAAGTTATTTATACTTGAACTCCATTTATCTACTAGACCAGTCAGTGACTCTGAGGTGCTTCTTTGGAAAAAAGACTGACGTGATGTTTAATTTTTAAACATGTCTCATGTTTGCGCAGCCTGATCTTCAGGTGTAGAAATCACTGTGAGTACTGTGCTTTTTCTACCTCCTATAGGTGGGCTCTGTATCCTGCTATTGTGATACTGATACTAATTGCTTTTATCCCTTAATGATACTTAGATATTACCAGTTGGCATTGTGGGTTTAGGAGTCGGGTCTCTGAGATTTTGGATCTGCTTATTTATCTCTACTTGACCGTAGCCATCTTATTTTACCTCCTTGATCCTCAATTTCCTCATCCATAAAATGGGAATACCTGTATAATGGGCTTGCTATTACAATTCAATTAAATAGTTTATTCCATGATTAGAACATAATATATTTTCTAACTGGTAACTGCCTATTATGGTAGCAGTAGTAGTGGTAGCAGTTGTTTATTTTTCTTTGCGATTTGTCTATTGTTCTTGCTATTTAAATCATTATATCATATTTTAAAATATAAGGAATGGTACATCAGTAGAAACACAAATTTACTATCTGTGAGTTCATATTCCATAGACATTGATTTGGGCATTCAACATATTTATTAAGTGTCTATATGTCAGGCGGTATTTTAGTCACTGTCCTGTGGAACAGCATTGGACACATGTAACAGAAACATATAAACATATATGTAATGGGAGGTGAAACATGATGTATAAAGAAACAAAGCAGGATTACTGGAGGTATTGTGAATATTTTGTATTGAGTAGTCAGTGAAGACTACCCTGCTGGGGAATTTTAAATCTAAGAGGCATGAGTTCATTTAATATAAGTACAAGAGATGCTGTATCAGTTAGAACTAGTTTAGAAAATCTTGGCATGATAGTGCATGCTAATTTTTGCATTTGAGATAATAAACAGATTTTTAAGAGATGAATGAGCTGATTTGAACTTTGTTATAGTGGATCTAGTTCAGTTTCCATTTACTGATTTAAACTTTAATCCTCTAATCATTTGGGACTAAGGTTGGAATTTGTTTACCAGAATTAGGTAATTAAATTATCAGAATTGAAATAGATTAGTTATCTTAAGTGTGATTACAGCATTGACTCATTTAATTAGTGTGTGGAGGATCATGACTTTTCCTAGGAAGGTTCTGAATAATTTGGCAGATGGTTAACGTTATAGAAAGTTCAAGCTGACCAGTCATTTATTTTTGCTCTTGAAATAGAACCACATTTTATTAACTCTAGGGTATAGACTTTGTCATGGCACTTTATTTATGTTAATGACTATTTAAAAAGTTACTCAGAAAAACAGAGTCAAAATTCATAGATAGGTTTTTCTAGAGAGGATATAAAAAGATAAAAGATTGAAGATACACTTTTGTTATGATTTTATACTTAGAATTTACTTTGAGATAAGCATTAATATTTATTTTTGGAAAATAGCACTGATGCCAACAGCTGAAAGTTTGAAAATGCTTTAGAAATATTAAATGTCGAAGTGCCTCAAATAGATAAAGTTGTTTGTAGAATAGAAGAAAATACCTTCAATCAAACTGGGTTATTTTCAAGATCTTAGTAAAGTTGAGTTTAGGTAGTCAAGTAGTAAAACTGAATTTATGCAGTTAGGAAGAATTACTAAAATTTTATTGAGCAATTAACATATTTAGAAGTTACAAGTACCAGATGTGTGTTTTTCTAACTTCCTAGGGTACAGGTTTGTGATTTAGTTTTGTTCAGTATAATCTGGTGGACAGATCTGAGAGGGGTTTTTGAGAAAGCTTTCCCTCCATCATGAAGGGATCCAGAGCAGGAAACCACTTTTTTCTGCCATTGGACATGGTCGTGGGATTCTCGACATCATGGAGCCGCTGCTATGGGTCTCTGCAGTCCTGTACCCAGACCCATCCATTATGTTCTTATTGAAGCTGCTTTGAGTTTTTTATTTGTTACTATAAGTGTCCTGATATACTATCCACACACACTTTTGCCTGTTTTGGATCTCGTTAATTCTAATTAACTCAGGTAATTACTGTTTCCATTAGAAAGAGCATCTTTTTTTTTTTTGAGTTGGAGTCTCACTCGGTCGCCCAGACTGGAGTGCAGTGGCCGCTCCCGGCCCCCGCAGCCTCGACCCGCTGGGCTCCGGCGATCCTTCCGCCTCAGCCTTCCAAGTAGCTGGAACTACAGGCGTGCACTACCACGCTCGGCTAATTTTTGATTTATTGTTGAGATGAGGTCTCGCCAAGTTGCCCAGGCGGGTCTCAACCCGCGGGCTCAGGCAATCCATTCACCTCAGCCTCCCAAAGGCACAGGTTTACAGGCTGAGCCACTGAGCCCGGCTAGAAAGAGCATCTTAAAAGACCTTTCTGTTACCAGGTATAGACTTACCCTATGTCCATTCCCTGGTAAATGGCTCAACTCAGATGTCTTGCAGCAAGTTTATTGGTGAAAGCACCTCTCAAAAACAATCCAGATTTGTCTTTTCTTTGATTAAATACTTAACCTAGAGTGTGAGAGTATGATACAGTTAGTGGTAGGGACCTTGAAGGTAGAATGTGGCATGATAGGCTAATGAAAGAGGATTCGTAATTATCAAAAATGCAAGAAGAAAATAAATTCTGAACCAGAACAGAGGTCAGTCTTTTAATTCACACCTGCCTAAGGATTTTCTCTATTTTCTAAATAGAAGGGAAGTAGAAATTGACATACAAATCTACTATATACATGTATTTAATACTAATGTTTAGCCTAGCTTGAGTGTAGTTTTCATTCTTTATTGTGGTTTAATTTTTCTTTTTTTTTTTTGAGTTGGAGTCTCACTCTGTCACCCAGACTGGAGTGCAGTGGCCGCTCCTGGTCACCACAGCCTTGACCCACTGGTCTCCGGCAATCCTTCCGCCTCAGCCTTCCAAGTAGCTGGAACTACAGGCGTGCGCCACTATGCCCGGCTGATTTTTTGATTTATTGTAGAGATGAGGTCTCGCTGCCCAGGCAGGTCTCGAACCCACGGGCTCAGGCAGTCCACTCACCTCAGCCTCCCAAAGGCGCGGGATTACAGGCTGAGCCACTGAGCCCGGCTTAGTGGTTTAATTATTTTTAATCCCTATCTTGCATTAAGATGCTTAAAACATTCTTTCAGATGTTGTTAAAAGATGATTTTTGTAGCCAACCCTTTTGTGATTGAGTGAACAAAGCAAGCTTAGGAGATATATCCTAATAGAGTTGGTGCCTTCACCTGGTTTTCTTTTTCCTCTTTTTTTTTTTTTGGATGGCTGCATCATACCCTGTGTCTGTGATTCCAGTGTTTACATAGTGCTTATTTTCTTGTGGGTACATGAGTTGTATTCAAGTGAGCTACCTCTGCATATGTTGTTTAGGTAATGTGATAAAGTCTTTCACGATAGTGGTCATGGGAAACCATGGATACATTTAAACAGAACTAAAGAATGTGTTTAAAAGGATTCCGTTTAGAACAGTATTTAGATCAATAACAGAGTTTTTTACCTCTATCACAAAGGAACAGTAAAAATAAAATTATACCTGTTATATTTCCTGTCTGTCTAGAGGAGAGAGTCTTCTATTTTCTGTTCTACATTTGAGTAATCTGTGGCAACACAAAATTGGAGAGATCCTGAGAGGCCAAAACCTGTATTCAGAAAGGCAAAGACCCTTGAAGGGAACAGAAGATCCCTGAATGAGGAACAGGTTCAGAGAGTGCTGTAGGGAATGAAGAGGAGAATCAGAGAAGCCGAGTTTGAGAGATTGTGAGGAGAACCAGAAAGGTGTCTGGTCCTTTTTGCGAAGGTGGGATGTAGGAGAGACTGAGAAAGAAATTTAAAGAGATTTTAGGGAAATTGTGTTTAATGCTCTGCAGTGTGATATGCTTATTATGT